AGCCCGGCGAGGCTCTAGTTCAGTGAAACTGCAGTAGTCACCCGTTTCCATATGATTTACCTGCAATCAAATTTCGATTCAGCGTGTGGCTGCTGCCCTTTGCAGACGCAGACATCAGAACCGTGTGTTTCCCCAGCTGCAGACTCAAAGGACGATGTTGTACCCAAAAGGAAGTAAAATGGAAGCAGCACAAGGTGAGATCAGGGGCACTAAAGTGACCCCCTGTACATCTGTATAGGGTTTATCTCTCCCTCTTTTCAACCTGTCTCCACAAATTGTCAGGGAGTGTACACTGTGGCACAATAATTTTCACTTCTGTCTATCCACAGGGGCTGCATCCCTCACACCCCATCTCTGAGGTGGCAACCAGTGCTCTGAATCCTTGTTGGTATCTAGATTGACCACAAAATCACAGAATGGTTTGGATTGGAAGAGACCTTAAAGCTCATCTTGTTCCAACCCCCTGCCATGGGCAGGGACACCTTCCACTAGACCAGGTTGCTGCAAGCCCCATCCAATTCAGCCAAGAAAGAGCTTTATGCCGTTTTTCCAGGTGCACTCACACACATGTGTACACCTCCTCTACCATTCCTAGCTGCAGAGCTTTATTTAAGGGTAGACATATCTCAAGCATGGTGTGACACAACATCAAGTTACTCTGCCTGTGCCTCTGAATGTGCCTGTTCTCTGTAATTTGCTTTCTGTAATCGTGCAAGGATTAGCCTTAGTGCCTTGTCCATAGCCTAATTTGGATGATATATTTTTGCAGTTTCACTGGAATCAGTATTCATCATTACTGCTCTTAAACTGTGAGACAGTTTTGTAGCAAGTTACTCAACAGTTGCTAAATTTTATGAGGAATGGCTACAGATTAATTGCAGTTGAAAAGGAGAAAGAGCCTAATGTACTTCTCACTTTGTCTATCCAGCTGCCTATATAGCTGTGTTATATGTTTCTGAAAAAAAATCATGGGCTTTATGCCACCAACATACAGTTAGTTCATATTAGAATTATGTCCCCAATCTAATTTACATGACATTGCTTTATATTAAATAAGTACCTCTGTAGTTAGGATGCCAAATACTTTGCAATGTTATAAATAATTATTTCTCTCTTTTTTTTTTTTTTTTATTTCTTTTCCCTGACCAGTGGTTTCAGCTGCAGGATGTTGATATTTGCCAGAGAAAATGGCCTGATGCTATAAATGTGACTTTTCTATATAGAGACCATCCTTCGTTCTCATGAAATGCTTCCAGTTTTTGCTGAGCTGTATCTTGTCAAAAATGATCATTTCCTTTTTTTTTTTTTGAAAATCATTTATTCCTTATTAAAATGATACCTGAAGTATGATGTATGTGTCAAAATCAAGTTCAAAAGTGAGGTAGCACCAGGTTTGTGTACTCCAGACAACTTGAGCTTGTAATGCAATGATTTAACACTTAATTCCTGGTGTGTTGAGTGATGAGCCACTTGGATGGCAAGTTGTGTTTTGAATCCAGCAACATCGATTTCCTTCTTTTAAGGGTATCACGAGTCAAGGGCTTCTCTGGTTGCTTTTCCTGCATGGGGACAGGACCAGAAAAAAATGTCATCTGAGAGAGAAGAAAAGCAGCTTTAGTTTTCTGATTCTTTCTGATTTCTTTGGCAATTGCAGGCCAAATTTGATGAAATATAAAGAAGTCATCCCATGAACTTTGCATGATAATGGATTACTGCCTCTGCTTTGCATATGCTAAAGGACAGTGGTGCAGATAGTGGTGATAGAAGAGGTAAGAGCTGTGAGAGAAGATGGCTTTAGGCTCCCAAAAATTGTCTGCTAGCCCTCAGCTGCAGGAACATTAGTTTTACATTGCCAGCAAGATAAGAGTGAAGTCACTGGTCTTATTGGAATGAGAGAAATGGAGAGACAGAAGCAGAAGTTAAGTACTTTTTTATTCAGTTTTATCCACTAGCTGGATGCATGAACAAGCCAGATACTAAAAAATAATTTAAAAAAACATATTATACTGGACATTTACCTTTCATGGAACCTTAAAATATTGGCGTTTCTCTTCAGTAGCTTCAAAGCTGTATTGAGTACTGGAGATGAGGTAGAAGGGAGTTTCTATTTATGGAGTTTTGAGGTCTCTCTCCTATGTTCCATTCTTTCCATTATCTCCCCATCCAATAAAAGTTCTAATTCTTGTTTATATCATTGTTTGTTGTCATGGAAATGTCCAAAAGCTTTGAATATAGAATGATTATGTGTTTATTGTGGAGAGAAGAAGAAACTGGAAAACAGACTCCGAGGTAGAGATTCATTTTAAAATGATGCACCTTCAACAACTCTAGAGAGGAGCAAATGCAGGTTTTTTATTATATCCAGGGACAAAGGGTGTTTTGCCTGCTATTATAAATGTGGTTTAGAACAGAAGGTAGCACCTGGTGTATGCTTTCAAAGGTTATGGTTTAGCAACCATCATCCGTGAGGAGCACTGATGAAATAGCGGTAATCCAGCTTAATAATGTAAAACCCAGAATGGGTTCAAATTACTTTACAGTTGTTTATATGGCAGTATATATCTGCAAGCAGACTTCAAAACAGTGCTAGTTTATTATCAGCAAAGCTGTGCTCTGAGGTCACTAATTCAGAGGCAGCTGTTCTAGTCTCAGCTTTTGGCTGTGCTTCAGCTCACTGTGTCACCACGTGACACCCTGGGCATTCCTGTCCCTCTTTATTAGACTCATTCACCAACTGGAGAAAGAACAGGGTCCCTTGGTGTGGTGGTTCCAACTCCCTTGCCATAGGCAGGGACACTTTCCACTATCCCAGGTTGCTCCAAGCCCTGTCCAACCTGGCCTTGGACACTTCCAGGGATGGGGCAGCCACAGCTTCTCTGGGCAACCTGTGCCAGGGCTTCACCACCCTCACAGGGGAGAATTGCTTCCCAATGTCTAACCTAACCCTGCCCTCTGTCAGTGTGAAGCCATTCCCCCCTGTCCTGTCACTACAAGCCCTTGTTCAAAGTCCCCCTTCAGCTTTCTTGTAGGCCACCATAGGGCCTGGAATATGCTTTCAGGTCTCCCTGAGCCTTCCCTTCCCCAGGCTGAACAAATATCTTCTACTGTAGTTTGGTATAGGTAAAGATCAGGTATTTCCCTACTTAATAAGAATTCCCAGTGCTTAAATAATTGCTAAAGCCCAGAAACATGAGAAGAACCTAAAGGGAAGTGCTCAAAATTTTGTACGCTCTGGTCACAAGATCATTTTCAGGGATTTCTTCAGCACACTGCTTCCAGATGTTGTTCACTAACTGAGGTCAGGAAGCCAGTTAGATGGGATTACACAACATGGCATTGCTCAATGGTTTGCAATTTTGTCCTTTGCGTTGCAACCGTTTGTGGCATTTAATGGACTATATATGATACCAATCAATGTCAGGGAAATTATTTACAACAGGGTTGTTGTGGAAGCCATAGGAGAACAAACACCAACAATCACCACAAGACTAAATAACTATTTAGTAAAAACATTTTATATAAAAAGCATATAGAAAAATTTACAATATTCACACATTAATGGAACCCACATCCACAAATAAAAATTTGCTACATTTGCTATTCAACATAAAATGAGATGAAAGGTATGACTCAGGATATGATAGAAACAGAACTTACTATGTTTTTCCAATCTTCTTCAAACGTGTCCTGTCTTATGTTCCTTGATAATGACCCATCAAGATAATATCTGTCAAGCATGCTTTTGGATTATTCAGAAATGATTACCTGTATTTCCTGTTGTGTTATGTTCTGCATGCAGAGACCACAAATATGTACATTTAGGTAACAAACAAAGGTAAAGCCAGGGAGCATTCCTCCAGTGACAACGGGCATAGTGTTAATTGAGAGTTAAGGACAGTACATAGAGTAAGAAAATCTATTTGTAATAGTTTGTCTTAGCATCAGCTACAGGTTTGTGGAGTCCCCCATGGATTCCTTCCAGTCCCTTTTAGCAGCCACGACTCCACATTACACAAATTGGTTCTTAGCCATGGGTAGGGTTTCTGACTCTAAGCTGCCACCAGCACTTTTTCACAGTGCAAATAAATTTTCATTCAAATAAGTTCCTAAAAAAGCATTTCTTTAAAAAAAATTAAAAATTATTAATATAGTAAATTTCTAAAAAAACCACCTCAAACCTGACAACGTGGGCCAGTCCGGTGCTGAGATTGGAAGGCTCTGTCCATTTGCAAGGAGAACCTACAAAAGTCATTTCTCCAAGACAGCAGACATACAGCTACGCAGGGAATGGCTCTGTTCTCCCAGCCTTTTCTGGCAGGCAGAA